CACGCAGCGACATTTTATATTAGCATTTCTAACTTTTATGACCCTTTCTTTATAATAAAGTAAATAAAATAAAATCAATTTCTCATGTCCCTTTCTATAGTGTCAAGTATTCAACAGTTGAATGGCTTAAAACTTTAAGTTATAACGATACTGAATTATTTTTGAAGACAATGTAGATTTACTGTTTATGATTCCATTTCCACAACCTCTCCACACACGCACACACTCATATTCACTATACTCACCATGAGAGGTTTCACTCGCTACACTTAACACTTATTATTTTGTTACTTCTCTGGAAAATATGTCTGTATGCGTTGAGTATATAAAACAGCTTGTATTTTTTATAAAGAGCGCTGCACCTGAGATACAGGTCTCCTAGTTCAGGTGCAGATGTATTTTTATACAGTTGATTGATTCTCCTATTATTGTAAGATTTTATAAAATTCTGTGTACAAAAATAATTTTTTGGTGCCAATAAATTATTATTATTATTATTAACTAGTGGCCCGCTTCGGTTCTTCGCTTCTTTTTTTGCCTTTTTTCAACTATGCCTTTCGAATATCCAAAATAGTAGTTACGAATTAGTCGAAAGGTAAAATCATTCGTAGTCGCTCATCGCTACTTGATTATAATCTAGTTGAACATACCATATGGTTTTACGACCTCCGTGACCGAGTGGCATGTACGGCGGGTTTCAAAGTGTCGACTGCTCGAGGGATCCCGGGTTCGAATCCCGGTTCGGGCTGATGTTTGTGTGCATTTGTATTCCAGTCATAGATGTTTAATATGTATTTCTATATAAATATACTTATATATGTATCACTATATGTATTCTATCCGTTACGTGCTTACTTTGGGCTAGGCTAATTGGTGTGTGTTAAAAAAAACGACGGGTTGCACTCCGGGAGTGCCGGCAGAAGTGAAAACTTGAATATTAACGGTGTACATTTTTGATATTTTGGAATGGTTAGGGAATAATTTTGCACGAATTGCTTTACTTATCAGTATAAAAGTACTATCATGTATGTGGTAGAATACAATATTTACACAAACACGACAATTTATATTACATTAAAAAAGTTTATCTCTCAGAAAAATCAACTTACATGAATCACGTTTAAGCGCACCTAGCGACATCTATTGTAAAAAAATGCATTTCTTCGCAATAAAGCTGCCACGTGGACGTCCTAGATAGAGACTTATTATTAAAATACGATAAAATAAAATATTACTATGTTTCGTCCAATATATTGAAAGTCAACAACCTTTCCAATTTTATTGTGTGTCATGATGCGATCAACATGACGCGAGTTTAACATTTTTTACCCATACAAAAAAAAGTGTACCACGCGGCTAAAGAAGTTTTCACTTCCAACAATTAAAGAAAACAGTTCATCGGTCTGTTTGTTGTGTAAAGACCTAAAATAGGATCCCGAAAAGATGTTAGATTCCTATGTGTTCGATAGCTTAGTGTCTTCTATATAATAATAATAATATAAATAATAATAAATAAATATTTCCAACACTCACACCAATTAGCCTAGCCCCAAAGTAAGCACTGTAAAGGCTTGTGTTATGGGATACTAGGGTAACGGATAGAATACATTTATTGTACATATATAAGTATATTTATATGAAGTACATATTAAACATCCATGACTGGAGTACAAATGCTCGTATTCATCACACAAACATCTGCCCCCACCGGGATTCGAACCCGGGACCTGTCGAGTCGGCGACGCCATGAAACCCGGCGTATAAACCACTCGGCCACGGAGGTCGTCAAGAAAAATACAGACATATACAGTTCATAGTAAAATACAGATCTTATTAAAATTATGTGCGTACGTTGTCTTTTTTGAATTCGAATTGCAAGAGGGAGGTGCTACTATATAAATCAAAATGAGTGAATGTAGTAACGAATGGGTACGAAATGAATGTATGAATGGATGATGATGATGACCGATTGCAGCTTCTCTCTTCGAAGGATAGATGGCGTTTACACTATGGGGCCGTCAATAAATTACGTCATCGATTTTTTCAGATTTTAGACCCCCCCCCCCCCTACTACAATCACCCTTCTCCCAAAATTGACGTCATTACCAGTTTGACAAAATTAAAACATTGCAGATTTGAGAAAAATAGGGTATTATATGATTAAAACACTTGGTTATAGAATCACCTTTTAGTATTTTTACTTTGGCAATAATCATTGATATAATATGATATAAAAGTAAAAAATAGGGAATAATAATATTTAAGGTTTATAGGTTTATATGTATAATACATGTAAGTACCACGGGCGAAGCCGGGGCGGGCAGCTAGTATTATATGTAATATTATTGTTAGAGTATTTTATCTGTAGTTATTACTGTATTTGTGTACATCTATGTTGCATTATGTATGTTTATTATAGAAAATTTCTTTTTACAAATAAACTATAAATAAATAAATAAGAATGACGTCAATTTCGAAACCCCCCCCCCATCTATCATTTACCGTCATCCGCAGACCAACCCCCCCCCCCCCCCTAATTTAGAATGACGTAATATATTTGGCCCCTATGGTATTGTATCAACTAATTGCAACGCTGGCGAAGTCACGCCATGCCATGACTCAGAGAACAAATTTTTACGCCCATCACACAAATTAAATGAACCTTTTAGAATTGTGAATCCAGGATCAACGAGGCAGAAGGCAGCGACTGCAAATGAAAATTGGCCCGGGATGTCAGATTTCAAAATATAGCCATGGTAATGATATTATTACCAATGTCGACACCCGTGGCCGAGTGGTTTGTACGGCGGGTTTCATGGTGTCGCCGACTCGAGAGGTCCCGGGTTCGAATCCCGTCGGGGCAGATGTTCGTGTGTTGAATACGAGCACTTGTATTCCAATCATGGATGTTTAATATCTCATCATCATCATCAGCCTATTAATGTCCCCACTGCTAGGGTACAGGCCTTCCCCATGGACGGAATAGGGAGATTGGGCCATGACCCACTTCACAATATTAAAAAATCCGCGTATTAAATATACTCACCTCGCACAAACATAATATTTATTATGTCCTAAAATATATTAACAAAACTTAAACTTTAATTTAACTGTGAGGAGCTCGATGGCGCAGATGGTTAGTGGAAGTTAAGCAACTTTCGCAGTGGTCGGTCATTGGATGGGTGACCAAAAATCTTCAATCTCGAGTTCCTCCGTGCTTCGGAAGGCACGTTAAGCCGTTGGCCCTGGCTGCATCTGCAGTCGTTAGCACCCGCCAATCCGCACTGGGCCCGCGTGGTGGGTAATGGCCCAATCTGCCAATTCCATCCATAGGGAAGGCCTGTGCCCCAGCAGTGGGGACATTAATAGGCTGATGATGATGATGATGAAACTTTAGCTTTTTTTCCGTTTCCTGACTTTTCTTAGATGACGTCACTTCTCTCTTTTTTATACAGGCTGTTACAAAAATACAAATAAAGCTTGAAGGGCGTTTAACTCAAATTTTCTTAAAATATTTGCATGAAGTTTTAACTTTTTATAAAAACAGTTATTTTTAATGATTTTTTAATGATCCTTGAACTAGTGACGTGTCTTAAAATGATCGATTTTTTTATTAGTCATTAAAAATAAATATTTTTATAAAAAAATAAATTTCATGCAAAAATTTTAAGAAAATTAGAGAAGACTCCTTATATGATGTACTTCAACGTCCTTCAGGCTTTTTTTGTATTTTTGTAACACCCTGTATATATGTATATGCCATTCTTGTTTTTGAAAATCACTCGTTGCGGCATAGAATTTGTTTTAGACTCCATGTAACCCAATAGGAACATAATCTGACACTCAATACAAATATACCTGTTGCACAACCGCCCCTTTTACATTCATATTGAGAGAGAGAGAAGCTACTTAGTACCAAGCACTTTAAGTTTCCAAGTTAGATTTGTCCATGTATGTGCACGTTAAGCCCAACAACTGTATCTTACTTAAACGGAAAGCCTTGGCCAAACTGGCTACATTTTCCCGCGTACCTACGTCACACGCTTGAGTGAATGGGGGAAAGAGATAGTCGCAATTTCAGCGAAGCGAAAGAGAGGGATGCACGGAAAAGCCTCGTCAAAGAGTAAATTTGAACGGTGTGGCGGTGAAATGGATAGGGAAATGATTTCTCTCAGAAGCTTCGTGGGGATTGATGTGATTTAGCTAGAAAATTAAATTTTATTTTTCGATTAGATTTTATTGTTAGATTTGTATTCAGTAAGTTTTAGTGCGTTGCTAATTACTTACCTAAAATATTTCTTATAAATTAGCACTAAACTAGTTTATTACTTGAATTATTCATGTATATACGAGTATCTTATTACTTCTTAGTTATTGGAACATTATAAATCTTTAAAAATATATAAAAAAATTGTGTGGATTCATTTAACTTATCTATATTAAAGTAATAAAATATATTGATTGATGAGAAACTTAATAAATCAATTTAATGTTTTGTTATAAATCTACAGTGAAAGTCAAATTGAAAATAACCACTTACTTAACTTACGTTACTAGCTTCTAGTGCAAATATTGACAGGTTTTACAGTAGTTATGATTATCAATAGAACAAAATTACGCAAATGTATATCTTTATTTGTTCATGTCTTGGTTTAGATCTTTGTAACACACTATTGTTTTTCACGTGTAATTCTAAATTTCGGATTAGGAATTTATATTTATTACCATTCAAATAAGTTCTCGTTTTTTTAAGAAAATAATTGTATATTGTTGTTTTATTATACCTATGGTATACTCTAAACTTTAATTCTATTGATTTGTATAAAAATATAATAATCTATTATTGTTAAAAAGCTAATTAAGAATAACTTGTTCGTTTATTTTATGACCGTATCTTCATTGTATATTTAAATGTCAGGGCGCGGAAAATAACAACTTGACAAATAAAATTATTAATATTATAAAAAAAATGCAAATGCTTCTCGCTCGAGTTACATAAAAAGTGGAGTCTGCGGGTTTTCTCGCGCGTCATATAATCTTTGACATTATCAGAGATTCAAGCTCAGTCCGGTTCGGAGCGTCCTCCTGTGCGCATCTGTTGATATTTTTTTCCATAGAATTCCTATGAAACACATCACATAATGGAGTCGTGTGTGTGAGTGTGGTGTGCTGTCAGTGTTTGTATTTGCGAGTCTGGGATTGCCTGTTTTTGCGGGTAAGATTTTTTTTTTTATATAGAGAACTAGGATGTTTTACCATGAAATTTGAAGGTTTTGGTTTGCTTGTGTCTTATAAAGAGGAAAACACTGTATTGGGTTACGTGTCTTTTATTAAATCGTACCGTGTTTCCGAAATATTCATTTCATATTTTTTGTTTAACTTACAAATATAGGAACGCAAAGAAGCAATGATGCATTTAATTGAACGTATGGAATTAAAGGAAGAAATGTTGATTGAATAAACCAAAGACTCTACCATTAGTAAGACTTCTTAATCAAAATTATTAAAATACTACTCAAATTTTATTAGTTTAGGTACAACATACGTGATATAGGTGTTTTTTTTTATTTTTTTGTCAGCACCACAAACAAGTTTACATGATGACTTAACCTAGGATTTTCTTTATACTAAAATATATAACTTAATGTAAACTAAACAACAATGGTCACATCTTAATTAGACAATTATTAAAAACGCAGGACTCGATACATTAGCGTTTAAACATTGTATAATATGACTTAGCTTAAAAGAAAACAAAAATGTCAATAAAAAAGCTTTTCATCTAAATATGTCTTCTCTCTAATGAGATTAAGTTTAATATAAACATCAGGTTTAACCACTTTGGTCTACGAATAGTATAATAACGATTATCAGTATATATTTATTTAACAAACAATCTAAGATAATGTTTAGGATTCAATATATATTTATATGTTTGCAGATAGATATTTATGTGTTTGAAGATAAATATCTATCTGCAAATATAAGAGAAAATATTTATAATATAATATATATTATTTATAAAAAAAAAACTGACTATTTACTGACTGTAAGATATCTAAACTAAATACTGACTAAATAGTCATTGCGAGTGTGATAAAAGTTGCACTACTTGTGGTATAGTATTTTATTGTCAGTGATTAAATTAAATTAAACTAGCAAACCAGTGAACCAAATGTTCACCAAAACCTGATTTCTCGAAAACCGGAAGTGCTACGTTACTCAAATCCGGTTTGTAGTCTTATCAGACTATTCTTAACTTATAACTTACATATTCTCTTTATCTATCTCTTACGGTTTGGCCGCTGAAACAGCACCACAGACAGACGGACTTGTCTAATAGATAAGAGATTAAATTAGATGAAATCCTCCGGCACCTTTTATTTAAAAGACTGATGATTTGGACGTGACCAAAAGTCGTGGCAGTTTGTTGAAACTTTTTTTGGTGTCCTAGACGTTCGTCGCTACATAGAGGGCTCCTGGTATGGTGGTAGTACTTAACAAGGGGCAAGTTTGCCCCCCCATAGTGTTAATCTGCCATTCTTGAGTAAATCCAAGAATTCCCGCTTAGGTCCTCCTATTATTGCGATGAATTCCGTGGCCAAGTGATTTGTACGCAGAGTTTCAAGTTGTCGCCTACTCGAGAGGCTCCGAGTTCGAATCCCTGTGGGGGCAGATGTTTATGACAATAATACGAGTATATTTGTACTCCAATAATGGATGCTTAATATGTATTTTTATATAAATATACTTATATATGTATTTAGTATATGTATTCCATCCTTTACCGTAATCTTGTATTCTAAAACACAAGCCTACAGTGCTTACTTTGGGGCTAGGCTAATTGGTGTGTTGAAAATATTTATTTATTATATAAAAACATTGTTATTAAAAAAACTTCTTAAAAGGTATCTGATTAATTTTTACAGAGTAAAAAGCTTAGTTTTAAACGTTTGCAATTATTGCAACATTAATGTGTGGTATGATTTTGTATTAACAATGTAAAAATATTAAATTTTGTAACACTGTGGAGTTTCACATGTAGAGTTTGACTTGTTTAACGTTGTGTAGGTTTTTTTGGATCATACAAAAAAAGTGTAAAACGCCGCTAAAGAAGTTTTCACTTTAAAAAGAAATAAATAGATGGACTAACCTTATCGCTTAGAGTTATGTTAATAAGTTAAGGTAAATTCTTAGATCTAGTGAATAAACACAAAAATAACATAAGAATCAGTCAAGCCATATCGGAAAACTTTTCTTACAGACACTGTGACATAAGTATTTTATATTAGAAGATAGGATATATGCAGAGGGTAACCTATAGATCTACTGAAACGATTTTTAAAATTCACCTACTAGAAAACTCGTTATTTTTGAGTGGGATAGGCTACATGTATATAAGAACAAACACTATAGTTATATTTTAATGTTTTAAGCATTTAACTGCTACATTTTTTTATTTTTAATTATCATTATAAACAGTAGTAACATCATAAGAAAATATAACTAGAAAATATCCACGCGGACCAGGCTTCAAACGGGACTTGAACCATATTTTCTAGTCATATTTTCTTTAGATTTAAACTGTTACATATTTAAAAAAAATATATTTATTTTATTTATTAATTTATTTATTCTTTATCGCAAAACAAACAGCAATTGGCGGACATAATGCCATAAGGCATTCTCTACCAGTCGACCAGTAAAAGCGTGAGAACTAAAAATACGGGGGTGCAATATGGATATATGCTAAATAAACCAGGTAGATAATATATATATCAATAGAATACACAAATATTAAAATATATATACACTACATACATGTAAATATATATGCTATATCTACAATACATACATACACATAATTATGCCAGTCAAGTATGAGAACGCAGATTAATTATATTAAGATAATGCTCACGAACCAATCCCTTAAATACAAATTTGTTAAGAGCTTTACGTATATTAGGGGGCTATACGTATTTACGTATATTAAATATATATAAGTAGTTACATCTTTTATATTTACAGCATTAGAAAAAACCACAGAGGTTTGTAGCAATGCTAATTACACGTCAGGGACTACCTTAAATAGTTAATTAAATACAAAGTACTGTGTTTATAGGATACAGTTAGGTGTATTCCAAGGTCTTAAAATAATAGTTTTTCAACTTTTATTTAACATTCAATGGTGTTAGGCAATAGGGGTGATGACGGGGTACAGTGGATGAAATTCTATTTAGTCCGTCAGTTAGATGATCAAAAACGGACACGTATTTTTTCTTTGGGCAATCAACCAAAAAATTACAAAGTTATAGCGCGTCAAAGTTTGGGAGTAGGGGCTCGTGACGACACTTTTTAGTGAATTTTCACTTAAAAGTGTACCACAACGTGACGTCATGCGACTTTTCAAATCAATATATCTCTGCAATGTTTATATTATGTGAAAAAAGAAAAAATACGTGTCTAATACTTTTGGATAATCTACCTGATAAACGAAGAAAAAAAATAGTCATCATCCCTATTGGCTAAATGTAGATGTAAATCAAAAGAAAATTTTACTAGAAACCTGCTCGCTCCCCTATCGGCCTAAAAATAAAAAGGCCGCGGTGGCATAATGGTCAGTGTATCCGTCCGGATAGCGGTGGGTGCGGGTTCGAGTCCCGTTTGCTGGCTGGATCGCGAGGGATTTTCTCTAGTAATATTTTCTTTAAATACGAACACTATAGTCGACACCGAAGCAAAGCGAAAGTAGGTGACTAGCAACAACAAAGAAAAGCATCCTTATAATAATTGTAGATAATTGGAATATTTGTGGCCACCTACTATAATTAGATTTCATAAAAATTTAAATAAAAAATGAGGAGCTCCATGTCGCAGGTGGTTAGCGCATTCGGCTGCGATCGTTGAAGTTAAGCAACTTTCGCAGTGGTCGGTCATTGTATGGGTGACTGAAAATCTTCTATCTCGAGTTCCTCTGTGCTTTGGAAGTCACGTTTAACCGTTGGTCCCGGCTGCATATGCGGTGGTTAGCACCCGCCAATCCGCACTGGGCCCGCGTGGTGCGCGTGGATAATGAAGAAAAACCGCTTTTGAATCGTGCTTATATTTTACTACCGACCCGCCCTCGCTACGCTTCGGTGTAGAGCTGAAGTGTAGACTACAGTGCATATCTGCATGCAAAGTCTCAGCCCGATCGCTTTAAAATTGACAAAGTTTCATACAAATTTTCATTCCCTATTTTATCCCCTTGGGTGTAGAATTGATCAAAATCCTTTCTTAGCGGATGCCTAGGTCATAACATCTACCTGCATGCCAAATTTCAGCCCGATCCGTCCAGTGGTTTGGGCTGTGCGTTGATAGATCACTATGTCAGTCAGTCACCTTTGAGTTTTATATATATAGATTTTCTTATCACCTATTCAGGACATCTGACTCTGTAAGCTGACAAGAATTATAAAACACCTTGCCACAATTTTATAAACACAAGCCTGGTTAAAACTTGACTTGTAAATTAACACTTTGAAAAATCAAATTAGTTTGGCAAATTTGAATCTCGCCGGTAACACGACTGACGAGGCGTGATGCGCCGTTCACATCCTAATAAGCAAAAGCCTTGGGTTATAATTTACATGTCGTTGAAAATTTTACATGCAAATTGAATTTGTTGACGTCAACCCACGCACTTTCTGAAAACTCTACATTTCGATGAAATAGGCGTATTGACATTGCAAACAAAAATATTTAAAGCTATACATGGAATAAAATTTAATAAATACCTCTATGCAGTAAATAGTACCTAACCAATCATTTGGTTTGGTATTTACTTTGATTCCTATTTACTAATAGAGTTATCAAATCATTCTACGATATATCACTACATAGTATAAAGCAAAGTCGCTTCCCGCTGTCTGTCCCTATGTCCTTATGTATGCTTAGATCTTTAAAACTACGCAACGGATTTCCATACGGTTTTTTTAATAGATAGAGTGTATCAAGAGGAAGATTTATTTGTATAATACATGCATAATATAGTAGGGAAACACTGATAATTTTAGATGCTTTTAATGTAAGGTCGTAAATAAACACATTTTCTTGTGCTTACATTGCAAACGCTGGCTGAACCCTACGAGATAGATCAAAATAATGTACTACAGTATTGTACACCTTAAAGAGGTCTACAAAAAAGTCCGAGATGGTATATGTCTTTTAGGGATA